TTTCCCATTAACATGGCAAATTGAGGTTATATGTATATGTATATTCACACACACACACACACACACACACACACACACACACACACACACACATTTTCTTCAGAAAGCCTTTCACCAGTGTGACTGATGTTTTAGTTTCTCCTAGGCATTAGGATACAAAGGGATCCTCTTTTAAGATTCCCAAAGAATGTGTGCTCCCTCTGCTTTTTTTTTTCCTTAAAAAATTTGTGGCATTCATATTTTATTTATCTTATTCACAAGATAAGTAAAACCGGTTTGTTCTTGAGGGTAATCAAATCTTTTATCACTGAACAGTATACAGCGATGAAAAAAAAAGTGTTTCAAGAGCACAGGAGCCTAAAGGCATTTTGTAATGTCCAAACCTTGAAGTACGCATTGGCCCTGTTGTACCCACATCCATTTATCTGAACAGCCCGAAGTTTGTCAACCTCCTACATTCTTCAAGCTTCAATAAGCGGCTGATTACAGCTTCACGCGCTTTGGTGAATGTACAAATCGGTCCTTGGCATCACCTCCCCCAGGAGCTGGAGATCTGAGACCTTGTGGTTCAGGTGGGGTAAAAAAGAGGATACATGTATATTTCCTATTACTGCTGGGTAACGCACGGACTGTGTGCTCAACCAGTGGGAGTTTGGAGGCCACTGCCCATTCTGGTCCTGCTTTGCTGTGGGAGACCTGGAGCATACGTGTGCCTCCTTATGGCTTTTTTCGCGTTCTCCAGGGGCTGGGCGCCTCGGAGGCCAAGGAGTGGGAAGGCTTAGGGGCGGAGCGAAGGTGGGATTGGGCGGAGCGTGGGCGGAGCTCCTCCTTTGCCCTCCCTGCTGTCAGCCTGCAGTGTGGTGAAGGGCGCAGTCGCGCCGCCGCGTCCCTGCCGCCTCCGCCACCCCGCAGGCCCCAGGTTCCCCACTACTGTCGTTGCCTGGTCCCACGTCTCGGTGTCCCCGCTTCTGTGAGATGACGCTCAAGTCGAGTGAGGGCGAGGGTGGGGGCAGTATGCGCACGGCGCTGTCTGACCTCTACCTGGAGCACTTGCTGCAGAAGCGCAGCCGGCCGGAGGTGAGCGGGCCCCTCGGGTCCCCAGGGTGCGGGACTGCGGCTCGGCTTCAGGCCTGAACATCCGCCGCGGGATTTTCCCCACTTACGTCCGTGTCTCTGTATGGTTTAATCTTGGGTGTCCTGGACGCTGGGTGGAGGCCTCAGCAGTCAGCAGGGTGGGGAAACCCAGAGAGCTCTTGGCCAGGTTCCTGCTGGGCTCAGGGTGCGGTGGATCCTTGCCCACAGCAGCCCTTCTAGGTAGAAATCAGGAGAGGCCGCAGCCAGGGCAGAGCAATTATTAAGGTCAAGGAAAACTTCCTCGTGGACGGAAATGAGTAACAGAAAGACTTAAAGGAACACATCCAAGAGTAGGTCTGCCAGGTTTTTGGAGTGCTTGTGTTTGGGTCAACAGACATGCTTGTAAAAGCCAACTTCTAGCTCTAAAGAGCTCATTCACTGTTCCTTTGCATTTAGGCAGTCTCCTTCTGCTAGGTGCAAATGGGGTAGCTTCTGTGTATGGATGGAACAAGGAATCCTAACATTTTGAAGGTCATTCTGACAATGATATAACAGGGATGGCTGGTTTAAAAAAAAAAAAAGCTGTTAACCTCTGTTCTCCAAAAGGCCCTCAGAGGAGGTTGTATTTCTGTGTTGTGTAGCAGGTGTTCCCCAAACTCAATAAGCTACAGCACTGAGCTACCTTCCCCTCCTGGACAGGACTGGAACCCTGCTCCTCACACTCTGTACCCACTTCATTTGAGAGATTTATGAAAGTGCTTTGGATACAGCAAAGCTGGCATTTGTAGTGGACCCATACAGATACTAAACAAGACCCATTGTCTAGACAGAATATTCAAAGATGATGACAAGTGCTATGAAGAAAAATGAAGCAGAAAATGTGTCACAATGAAGGTGACTTTTTAGCAAAAACCTATTATGTGTTTTTCCCACATGTATTTATTTATATGAAGGAAAAAAAGAAAAAATGAAGAACAAGAAAACCCTGTATTACAAAAGTTATATACTGGTTCCTTAATTCAGAGACTTTATTTCCTCTTCCTAATGTGTGGCATCACTTCCTCTCTCCCCAGCCAATTTTGGAAATACAGTTATTTAATCTTGTCTTTCTGTACTCCACACCCAAAGTCTCTTTTTAGTAACACTGAAATATTACAGTAATTCATTGCTCGGGGAAAACCTGTACATGAGTGAAAAGTCGACTGAATTTTTTCCTCCAATGCTGACAATTCCTCAAGACATTTTTGATTGTCACAACTAAGAGGATATTGCTTTTCACAGCAAAGAATTATAATACCCAAAATATCAATAGTGCTGAGGGGAATATCTGTTCCTTATGTTCTACTTCAGTATCTTATCTAGGGAGAACAAATGAGGTAGAAAACAACAGAAGTTATGTGATAAAACTTTTATCTACTTGGCCCTTAGTGATCATAATAAAACCAGATCCTATCTGCAAAGTATACTGTCTTTTTAGTCTTGAAAAAAAAGTCTTAAAGATCCTGAAAGTGAAGGACAGGGAACAAGGTAGACTGACAGATCCTACCACATACAGGGAAAATTGGAGAGAGGAGTAAATAATTTGAAAATTTTATTTTCTAGTATTCATTCTGTGAAAAGAAAAACCTGGAATGGAAATAGCCCCTTCTCAAATAAACAATTAGATCCATGCAAAAGTTCTTTCTCAGAAAAAATAATAAATAATTAGGAGCAGACTCACTGATCATGCACCCCACGGACAGGCAAGACAGCTTCCTGCCATGGCAAAATGTGCTGCATTGAGCAAGAACCCTTGTGTCTTTGCACAGGCTGTTCCCTCTACTAGGAGTGCTTTTTGCCCATTCATCCTGGATAATGCAAAATCCAGGCTTCAGCGGTGCTAGGCACCTCTCACTGCTCTACAGAACTCTATGCCTCCTGCCTCCTTCGGAGGAAACATCTGCAGCAGGGTTCAAAGGGCAGAGACAGTTGCTCAAAGGAAGTTAGAATCAAAAAAGAGATTAAAAACAAACTTGGCTTGGGGTCAGTGGTGGTACAGTGAATAGAGCAGAGGCAACTAAAGTTGGATTCCTCATCCAGACAGTTGGCTTAAGAGCAAGTGACAGTTTACCAGTGACCATAGGATAGAACAAACATTTTTTCAGCCCACTGTTGGGTTCTTTGCCAGCTGCTTCCACATGGAGAATTAGAAGGCCCACTCCAAGACAGCAAGGGGACATCATAGACAGCAGACTCTGGGGCTGCCCAACAACACCTGCCGGCCTGTCATACAGGCCTTGGGCCCAGGTGCCAGAAATATCCGGTCTTCATATGGGCAATATCCTGTTACACTTTGGGAAAAAACAAGAGAAACTACGAGGAAACCAACAGTACTCCAAGGAATTAGAAAGACATTAACACTGTTTAACCACAAATGATAAGTACTGGGGAGAGAAGGAGGCCTAAGAGCCAGAATTTTCTGGCATGTACTATGTTAAAGTCATACATTAACTAGGTGCTTTGTTTCTCAAGCACTAAATTCATCTGAGAACACATACATCAGTCCAAAGACCAAGTGTCTAAAGATCCTTTTCCAATGTGCTTCATCTATCCAGTGCAGTCTGTACATGTACAAACTTCTCCTTCCACTGAAAAAAAAAAAAAACAGGAAGCCTAAATACCACCATTCCACAATCAAGATACCTGGCCTGAGTTCCCACGATAACATTAAGCCAGTGCTGGATTTTGTGTGCAGTAACATCACTCTTTAAATTAAATTCTTATTTCCACTTTGTGATCAATATTTGGAAGCATAAAATGCTTTAGAAAACTGTTTGAGCTTTCAGGGTTAGTAAGTCTCTGGCTCCAGGAATTAAACTATAAGTACAGACTTCAAAGTTTGTGAGGGTTCAAGGAGAGAATATGATGCAGGAACCCACCAAGCCAGGAATCACAGGTGAATCATTATAAATGCTTCATTAATGGTACATTCCAGGTATATGGTAAATTTCCAGAATTTGTGGCCACCTGTGTATATACTATGGTTGCTAACCTGCATAAATAATAGTTGCTGATTAATTGATAGAGTTCATTTGTAAGTTTGGTTTTTAGCTTTTTCAGCCCCACAATTACTATTGATAAGAGGATATAAGCCAGAATCCTTGATTCTGTTCCATTGACCTGTGTGTCTATACCATCTGGTCTTTACTGAACCATAGAAAAATTTTAAAACTGCAGACTAATTCTTCACTTTAGCTATTCACAGGCCTGTGGCTTTTTCTTCACATGGTTTTTAAAAGGTCAAGTCATCCAGAGGTACTTTTAGTCTAACTTACATGGATCAGGTGAGTAAAACCATTTGTGTATAAGGAAAATAACATTCCAGGTGCAAGGTTATTGCAGCTGACACCAGCCTCTGGACTAACCAGCAGTGCAGAACATGAG